GGTAGGGTTTTATTTTTGTTACTATCTCTCATTAAAATTAAAAAGAAAGCTACATCAACCAAATGTTTTAAATGAAAATATATAGTTGAAAACAAATTACTTACTGAAATGCATAAAGGTTTATGTTTAAATGAAATGTGAAAGGTCAATTAAAATACAAAATGTAATAAATGTTATTCTTAAATCCACAGCCTGCTGATCAAATGCTGCTTTTTTTCAGTCTGCATATTGTCAAATAATACTTGTACTTGTAATAAAATTAAAAAGACAACATTAAAACTTGGGCCCGGGCTTCATGCCTGTGTTAAATTAGACAGGGACAACTATAAAATAGTATGTCATCTGCAAGGACCTCAAATAAACTGATTTAAGATGCTCTAAAATGCCAAAATGTATGTGTATGAATGTGTATAGGTGATTGCAATTTGTATTACATTTTTCATTAATTTAATTAATTTACTTTTATAAAAAAAAAAAAAAATCTGACATTTAATAAACTGTTCACATATACATATATGGGAATATATATATGGCCATGTAATTCTGGAGAGTTCATCATGTTTTTCTATGTTTAAAGTGAATAGAAAATCTATTTATTTGCAAACTTTGCATTGGTATTTTTCTTACTGCTGTGTCTAGCTTCCCATCTAAAAAGTGTTGTTACAGAAATAGACAAAAACTGTTTATAAAACGTTATACAATGGTTTTTCACTTGAAATTACATTGTTAATTCTTGTTATGTTTAATTTGGGCCCAAAGGTGAAACTGGAAAAGAGTGTAGTGTAGTTTTTTATCATTAAACAGTGCTCTCCTCGTTTTCATTGCAGATGTATGAAGCCTGAAACTTATTTCTTAATCCCCCAAAGCACTTTCCATCCACAGCACTGGCAACCGGCACTGCTGATTACTCTAACTGCATCCATATTAATCTTTAAATTCAACCATATGTATGCCCAGGTCCAAGCATAATGTTGGCTGTGAAGTTAACAAGTTTAACCTAATAACCTAAACATTACCACCTGCGTCATTATAAACAGCTGAGTTAATTAGGACTTTGGTGCTGAGTAACACTGACAGGTCTGCATACCTGCACTGAAAGCTGAGTACTGTAACATTTGATACACTGCAGATAGATATATTGCTTTATTCATTTCCTACATGGTTAAAAGCAATCAGTAAAGCTGTTCCAAACAAAAGTCTGGGATTAAATAGGACTTCAAAAATATCTAAATAGTCCCAAATTTTATATATATATATACCGTTGTGCTTGAAAGTTTACACACCCTCCCGTTAAAGACAATTAGAAATTCACACTAGTAATTTTAATAAAAGAACAGTAATAATATATAAAATGTAACTGAATTTATAATATATTAGAAAAAAGTATTGATTCAAAAAAAGAATTCTAAAATTATATATATGAATAAATATATATATACTCTCAAAAAATACTTACAAAATGTAACACTAGACAAAATCTAAGAGACATTACCTTGAACCATTTTAATAACCACATGTACTTTCTAAAACTATGCCGCTTGCTGTTCCTAGCAGGTTGGTAGTACTTACATTTATGAGAATAACTTTTTTAATAAGAAAAATATATACTTTTATGTTGTTTAGCTGAATTGTACTTTTGACTTTTACTTAAATAAAAATATGATAAAGTCTATGATAAAGTAATACTCAAGTATTTTTTTTCTCTAATACTCTACATATTATTAGTAACTTCACTTAAACAAAAAATTATCAGAGAGACTTACACTTAATGTTAAAATTTATGAGCTCTAAGGACAGTAAATACTGTACTGTTACAGTAGGTAACTACAGCTACTGTATACTATATATTACGTACATTAAATACTATAAAAAGTAAAATATAGTTTGAGTTATTTTGGCCATTTTAACCAATTAGTTCACTGCAAAGGTAGACACAACAAGGACATCCATGATCTTTGGGGAAAGATAGAAGGAAAATTCACCTGACATTCTGCTCCTGTCGAAGGGCCTTTTCCAATTGGTGGCTACTCCCTCCCTCTAATCACTTCAAACCACTTCTACTCACTGTTAATCCTCACTGCTGAACTGAGTCCCCTTGATGGTGCTGTAAGGTATATCTACAACTTCTGCTTTTGAGACGGCCTTTACTTGCATTACTTGAACAGGAAGCTGCTGTAACCATGGTAGCAGGCCAAACACTACCAAATGGTTAACACTATCAATGGCCATGAGAACCTTTGAGGAGCTGGAGCACACAGCACCCACCTGCATCACGCATTGCCAGAAAATCAGGCTAATAAAAAATCCTCAGTAGGCTAATAAGAAATTATTTAAAATAAAGATGCATAAAGCTTATTATTCGATTTAAGAAATATAAAAAGTATATTTATATATTTGCTCAAGAAAGAGATGGACCTCTCTCCAATTGCTCCCATTAGCCTACATCTCATTTCAGTGGTTTACGTTATCTCAGACCTGATTGAACAAGGCATCATAAGACGAGTACGGGAAGAAGAGAAGAGACAGAAGGATGAGTGGATGAGAGGAAAAGTAATTTATAATGTGAACATTAAAAAAAAAAAACACTGGAGAAGGGCTGTCAAATTTTTCACATAAGTGTGCAAAAACGCAATGTCATTACTTTATTTCAATGCAGGATTAAATGACATGCTTTGGTACTTTGTGGAACTGCTATGTTTTCCCGAAAAGCTCAGAAGGCAGATTCACTGT